GTCTCTCTCTCTCTCTCTCTCTCTCTCTCTCTCTCTCTAGTTGGGAATTGGTCCTGCTTTGAGCAGGGGGTTGGACTAGATGACCTCTTGAGATCCCTTCCAACCCTGATATTCTATGATTCTATGATTCTCTCTCCTGATTTTAGTTCACAGATCCTCATGCAGGACAATGCTTGTTAAATTCACCAGTTTAATGAACTATCTGTCCTCTTAACTGCTTTTGGCCAATTCAGCTTCACTAATACCCACTCTCATGTACATAGCACCAACAGCCTGGAGACTCTTAAAAGTACTTTACAACTTATGGATAAAATTCTGGCTAACGCACACAGGTACATTGGGCTTGGGGGAAGATCATGCTGCCAACCTCCCTCTATTCCAGTTGTGCACCTGCACAGGAACCCTGCCTTTGACCTACATAGATTATCTCTGTTCAGCCACTACAGCTCCCCCGCCACTGTATTTCCAGGTTCCCTTCCAATAAAAGCCAAAGTTTGACTCTATAGATGCTTATCTTGTCTACTTCCTGTGGTGTGAAGGGCAGCAACCAGACAGACAACAAACTATGCAACAGAACAGGGATACCATCTCAAACCCCTGCTTGTTATATGAAAAGTGTTGTGGGATCTTTAAGACCCCTATTTGAAAGAGTATCCCTTTGGTACGTATGAAAAAATTGCCAGTGCATCCATATGCACATTCAAATAGAGATTTGGCCATGGAAACTGGCCTCAGCAGTATCTAAATTCCCTGGAACCACCCGTCTGAATCCCAGCAGGCTCAACTTCTCCCTTCACCCTTCTGCAATGGATGAGCTGAGATCCATACAGTCACTTTCAAAAGAGCCCGTACAGACTGAGATGCTTTCTGAGTCTGAAACCCATGGAGTTACAACAGGGCTGGATTTGGCCCATGGTCTTATGAGCACAACATGCATGTGCAGTGACATTACTGAGTCAAACAGAGCCTGACCAAACTGTAACAAATCCGAACAAGAAATTTAAGAAATAATGTTTCTGGCAACCTGTATAGCTGTCCTAATAAACCATTTACAGAGTGGTGTCTTTCTATAGATCTCCGAATTTGTATAAATGGTGCCACAGCCTATTTTTACCTTTGATATGTACAGCCACACTGGCATTTGTGTAGAGATTTGGAAGGCTGCTGTCAAATCAGTGAATTAATAAGAAGAGCAGCTCTATCCTACACTGTCAGCATTTATGGATGGTGTCCCTGACAGCCATCTGTCAGTTTTTGATATTGATACCAGAAAATGAGCCTTGGAATTACATAATAGTTGTAGCTTTTCAGAAGTGATCCATTGCATGTACAGTACACCAGGGAGAAGAGGAAAAGCTGGGGTGAAGTGCTCCGCCAGTGAGAGATCTACGCTGGACTGGCAAGTGCAAAGCAGCTTAAATAATGTCAGCGAGTAGCTTGAAATCATGGAAAATGGGGGAGATATATTCACTGCAGAGAGAAGAGCAATATTTGTAGAAGGGAAGAATAAGGCCCTCTTAGAGATCTCTGGTGGTATTTTTATGAGCCAGATTCCCTACCCATGGCAAAGTAGATCTGTAACCGGATGAGATGACCCTTTAAGGGGACTGGGACTCAGCTGCACCTGTACCATACTTAGCTCAGCTCTCCAGGTGGAGCTAATGAGTGATAAAGGGTTAAGTGACTAAGAGCAGGTCTGCAAGGGAAGAAATAAGAGCAGTCTGTAGCTCAGTAAGGGGTTGCTCAACAGAAAGGAGCGTAGTCCTGGCAGATCAAATGATGTGTGCAGGGAGATGAGCCTAGGGAGTCAGCTCTCTATAAACAGTGGGAGGCAGCCAGGGGACTGGGAGAATAGGAAGATGTCCTAGGAAGAAGCAGGCCAGATGGAGGCTTTGGGGACATACAGTCCAGTTGTTTAGAGTTCCTGGGGCTGGGAACTATAGCAGAGGGTGGGGGTGGATTTCCCCCAACCTGCCTGTGTCCCCTTGAGTTGTTCCACCTGTGTTTGTCAGCAGGGTTGGGGAGAGATCCTGCAGTATGGCTGCTGAAACTGTGGGGAAATGCACATGATCTGTACTGAGAGCAGCAGCAGCCTGAGATATGCTTCTCCTTTTGATGTGCAAGGTGCCCTCCAGGCAGAAAAGAAGCCACAGCCCCTGCCCAAGGAATTCTGGCTGCTTGTGCACCGTGCTGGGATAAGAACAACACCCCTTCTAGTCAGCCAGTGGAGCGTCTCACCAAACAGCCTGTTGCTCTGATAACCAGCTGTTGTCAAGTTTGCA